GCATGGGGAATTGTAGCAATTTAGCAAGCTAACCTGAACACAGAGTAAAAATTAAGACCTGAAATACACTGGCATTTCTAACATCACTGGGTTAGAAATCCCAGCTCTTTGTTTCTTTTAGGTAAGCACACAAGCCACTGTAAGAGAACAATACCCCATCTTTCTAGCTGCTATCTAACTATGTATAGAGGGTTCTGCTTCAAAGAAATAACAATGGAAACAGGAGATAAATGATGAATAACACACCAGTGAACTCTAGCTGACTCAAATTTTCCATAGAGCACTTTTTCACACTGAAAAGTGTGTGGAAAGACTGATTTGGAACACTTATTTTTAATTTATCAGATTGGCTTGGCCTCACAAGAACTGAAACAGAACTTCAAAACAAGTTGCAATGTTTCTATCTGACATGTTTGAGTTCTCCCACTTTTTCATTCTGAAATACTTCAAAATTTTTTTCTTATGCATCAAGATAATTTCAGGAAACACAAGTGTCTGTTATCGCTATCCTCCCGAAAAACCTTTTTCAGACAAACTGAATTTTGGTTTGGCTTTGGTGAGAATACTTATAAAGCCTTGGTTTCAGTTTACTTTTTTTCTTTAAATTTAACTATGAAACTGAAAACTCAGTTGCTTACAGACCTACAAACGAAGTTGACCGTGCTTTAGTACCCCACAAATCAGCAGTAGCAGGCCATCAGTGCTGATCGCTTTTCAGGCATCACAGAAGAAGCTCACTTTCAAGAGAGCTTAGGAGAGCTATGCAGTGACTACCAGGATTTTAGCATGGGAACGCTTGAGAGAACTGGATGGGTGTTTGATGGAGTGCAGGATCAACAGGCAATCAGTGAAAAGGCTGATTATTTTCATTCTGGAGAAGAGGATTGCATCAAGCTGAACTGTCACAGACTTGCCAATGCACCCAGTGGGCAGGTGTCCTGGAGTGTGCATTTTGTTCCGGCTCACTCATGCACAAATGAAAGCTGTCCAAAAGAACAGCAGGCCATGGGTGCTTCTCCTCTCCCCTCCTCTGCCTTCCTCACATCCCTTTGCCTTCACCAAGAAGATGCCAGAGCTGCATTGCACCCCCAGTAGCGCAGAACTCACAGCTCAGCCACTCACTATCAAAAATAAATCTGCACTTATGATGACAGAATCAGAACACACTGAGATAGGGGAGCACACATGTATTTTATCTTAGCATATGCCACTAGCTTTTGGCAAGGGTTTCTAGGCACCACTGAACGTGGCTTTATCAGCTTCTTCCAACTATCCTTCAGCATATTTTGTGCCTCGAAACAAAGCCTCAACAAGGTACGTTGCAAGAGGAAGGCAACACCATCATCAGGACCTTGTCACATGACAGCTGGACACAGGGTAATGGAAATTTATAGGAGATAAATAGATTATTTGGGCCTGTCTCTATACCTGTTCCCTAATAACCTGTGTGTGCTGTCATTGATACCTGCCTTTCTGAGGACTTTAAATTAATAAGTCCATAGATACTATTTAATAAGATGAAATATACTTTTGGTAACTCATAGCAAAGTAATGTAGGTATAAGTGAGAAAAGTTTGAGTATGACTACAGCTTTGGCAGCTGCATGATCAAACGTGGTCACTCACAGTGATAAAGCAGCCAAGACCTGTTGTATGACACCAGTCAGTGAAAGTCAAGCTTCATTCTCTGAACACAAGCTACTTCATAGGGTGATGGGTGAATATCCTAGCAAGTTTGGCTTCTTCAGCTTCTCTAGAGACCTGCTAGCTGAGGTAGGAAGGGCTGCTCTAATTTATAAAAAATGATTTTTGCCCTGCTCAGCATTTTATTTTGAAGCCTTTCCCAAGGAGAGCTGTGGTGGGTCTATCACAAATAGCTGCTGCAGTGGAAGAGGACAGACTTCGCTTCTCTTACCACTGTGCTCACTGCTGCCACAAGCACAGTGGCTGATCTGGCTGCAGTCAGTGGGGTTGTCTTTTCTTGAGAAGGAACAAACCACAAAGCAGAAATTGGAGAAAGCAAAAGTACTGAGCAATTTATTGCACCAGAAGAATCTAGAGCTGAGCTCCACCACCACTGACTGATGCCTTCACCAAGTATCCTTGGATCCTCCAACTGAAAATGCATGAACATAGATCCTGTGTGTGGCAACATTTTTATGATTCTTCAGGAGAAGATGGTGTGGAAATTAAGTAATAAGAATTAGTAAAAGAGATAATTTAATCTGCCCATCATCTGAAAATGCAGCATCAGTTAAATATTACTAATATTTCAGATGGTTCTCTGGGTTAAAAGACTATCATTTATGGGTTATCGTTTGTGCACTAAAAGACTACTCTGAAAAAAATAAGACTACATACAGTAAGGTAGTAAGGAGGTGTTTTGCCGATTATCAGGCCTAACATAAAGGACACAGCCAGCATAAAGATGAACCAATAACCAAATTGTATTTCATACAAAAGGGTCAGTACATGGGTGAGCACTGGGGGTACAAACAAGTCAGTGAGATCATACATAATCACACATAAGACCAAGGAAACCACACACTGAATCTCTACACAGCCCACATTGACAAAAGCCAGACCTGACTGGAGCCCAGTCCCAGGGAGGCAGGAGGTCCTTCCCCAACAGGGAACTCTGCACAGGGCATCCACCTCACAGACAGACACTGCCCCTGCCTGCAAGGGGTCCCAGCTTTTATCCCTCAGTGGGACACCTGACCTTGGGTTACTTACTGCAGACACCTGGGGCTCATTTACCCAATGGCTCTCCCTGCAAGGCCGGCACCACCCTGGAGGGAAGCTTAAAGGTAAACTCACCCCCCCTTTGTGAAGGGCTGTGGGAATCACCCACATGTCAACCTTAATTTGGGGCTTGGGGTTGAAACCTCAGCATTTTAGAAGGAGGACTAGTCTTACAGGCTCTATCCTTACCTAATAGTGTTTAGGTCTGGGAAATACTGAAAATAGTATTAAAAAAAAAAAAATTAATGCCACAGCTTTCTGTGAATTCTGTGGTCTGTGATCCTGTATCCTCAGATGATGCAAAGGACACCCCAGAACTGGACATGGGTGTTCCTAGGATGTGATAAGGTACTAAAAACATATTTGTACTGCCTGAAATTAATGCTCCCTGAGAGGGAGAGGCTGTACAGCATCACACCTTTACTCTGTCCCAGTTAGTTAAGATTCTAACTTCCACTGTGGTTAGTTCTTCCCTTAGAAAGACAAGTAGTAGAGCATGAAATACCACCTGGGACAAATACACTGGCTGGAACAGTGACAGTAAGCAGATAGACTGTGTATTTCTTAACCAACTTAAAGATGTTGAAGAACAGCCTCAGGATGGTGAAGATGACCAAGGACTCCAGTGGACATCCCCTCACACATCGGGAGACATAATCTTGTGCTGGGCATTTTCTTGACCACCTGAAATAAAGGCTACATTCTGAAATGGATCTCTTCCTGAATAAACCTCCAATTTATAAAACAATGACTTAACTGTCTTGAAAAGAGCCCAGTATGGAAATTAAATTCATCACCTTCATGATAATTTTTGTGAAGAGAGATACTGAATTTTTAAGTGTAGTCTGGTTAGAGTCACTGGATTTATTTGCCTCTATTTTCTTTCATGAGGCTGGATATTTGTTAGAGCTCTTTTAGACCAGGTACACGTGATAAAATGCTGGCTACTCAAGACCATGACATGCTCCTGCCTATAGGTTGCTGCTCACTTCGTGCAGGGTAGACGGGAGCCTGAAAGTTCCTGTTTTATCATATAGTTGAATTTTTTTGATATCCTGAAATATTAATATGATCCTCTCCAAATAGAAAAAAGTCTCTTACAGAAAACATTTCACTTTTACTTGGGACCACATTAATAGCCCTCTCAATCCTCTCCTGTAGGAGTGTATTGCAGATACAAGCATGTGGCAGGAAAAAAATAGTTCCTGGGATGGGGACATGGATTACAGGAAGAACAATGTGCATAAGCGTGTGTGGGAAGAAGTGGGCAAAAAAGCTGCACTGCAGCTCGAGGTGGTGTGTACTGTAGTTAAATCCAGCTGGTAACTCAAATACTTGTTTGACAAGGCAGCTCTGGATGTGTTTTCACTTCAGGGCTAACCACTGCAGAGAGTTTTGTAGTAGGAGTCTACTATAGGCCACCTACCCCAGACAGAGAGGTGGATGAAACATTCTATAGGCATTTAGGATAAATCTCATGATCACTTGCCCTTGTTCTTGTGGGAGACTTTAACTTCCCAGACATCTGCTGGTAATACAACACAGCAGAGTGGGACCAGTCCCGGAGATTCCTGGAATGTGTGGGAGACAACTTCCTGACACAGCTGGTGAGTCAACCAACCGAAGAAGGTGCCCTTCTGGATCCCCTCTTTGTGAATGGAGAAGGACTGGTGGATGATGTGGCAGTTGGAGGCCAACTAGAGCACAGCAATCATGAAATAATAGAGTTCTCTATTCTTAGAGAGGCCAGGAGAAGGGGCAGCAGAACTGACATCCTGGACTTCCAAAGGGCTGACTGTCTTGTTTGGGCACCTGCTTGACAGGATCCCTTGGGAGACAATCCTGAAGGGTATAGGGGTCCAGGAAGGCTGCGGGCTCTTTACGAAGAAAGTCTTCATGGCTCAGGAGCAGGTGGCCCTCAGGTGCTGTAAGAGAAGCTGGTGCCAGAGAAGGCCACCCTGGGTAAACAGGGAGCTTTGGCTGCAACTCAGAGAGAAAAGGAGAGTTTACTGATTTTGGAAGAAGGAGCTAGCCACACACAGTGATTACAAAGATGCTGTGAGGCCATGTAGGGCTGAAATCAGGAGGTCTAAAGCCCAGCTAGAAATTAATCTGGCTTCAGCAATCAAGGACAACAAGAAATTTTACTATAAGTATGTGAGCAGCAAAAGAAAGACCAGGGAGTGCCTCCATCACCTGCTAGATGTGGGAGGAAACATGGTAACAATTGATGAGGAAAAGGCTGAGGTGCTTAATGCCTTCTTTGCCTCAGTCTTTAATAACAAGAGTAGCTGTATTGAGGGAATCCAGCCTCCTCAGCCAGAAGACAGAGACTGGGAGAACGACACTCCCCCAATCTAGGAGGCGACAGTCAGTGCCCTGCTGCATCACATAGACGCACACAAGTCTATGGGACTGGATGGGATACACCCGAGAGTGTTGAAGGAGCTGGCTGGGGTGCTCGCCAAGCCGCTTTCCATCATTTACCAGCAGTCCTGGCTGAGCGGGGAGGTCCCGACTGATTGGAAATCGGCCAATGTGATGCCCATCTATAAGAAGGGTGAAAGGATGATCCGGGAAATTACAGGCCTGTCAGCTTGACTTCAGTGCCCGGGAAGCTGATGGAGCAGCTCATCCTGAGAACCATCACACAACACATGAGGGACAACCAGATCATCAGACCCAGTCAGCATGGGTTTATGAAAGGCAGGTCCTGCCTGTCAAACCTGATCTCCTTCTGTGACAGGGCGACCTGGTTATTGGATGAAGGAAAGGCTGTGGATGTTGTTTACCTTGACCTCAGTAAGGCTTTTGACAGTTTCCAACAGCATTCTCCTGGCGAAACTGGCTGCTCACGGCTTGGATGGGCACACGCTTCACTGGGTAAAAAACTGTCTGGGTGGCCAGGCCCAGAGAATTTGGTGAACAGAGTTAAATCCAGTTGGTGGCCAGTCACAAGTGGTGTCCCCCAGGGCCAGGTTTTGGGGCCACTCCTGTTTAACATCTTTATTGATGATCTAGACAAGGGGATCGAGTGCACCAATCAGTTTGCAGATGACACCAGGTTGGGTGGGAGTGTTGATGTGCTCGAGGGTAGGGAGGCTCTGCAGAGAGACCTGGACAGGCTGGAGCCATGGGCTGAGCCCAACTGGAGGAGTTTCAGTAAGGCCAAATGCCGGGGGCTGCCCTTGGGCCACAACAACCCCCAGCAGCGCTACAGGCTTGGGCAGGAGTGGCTGGAGAGCTGCCAGTCAGAGAGGGACCTGGGGGTGCTGATTGACAGCCAGCTGAACAGGAGCCAGCAGTGTGCCCAGGGGGCCAAGAAGGCCAATGGCATCCTGGTTTGTGTCAGCAGTAGCGTGGCCAGCAGGGACAGGGAAGGGATCTGACCCCTGCACTCGGCACTGGTGAGGCCGCCCCTCGATTCCTGTGTTCAGTTTTGGGCCCCTCACTACAAAAAGGACATTGAATGACTCGAGCGTGTCCAGAGAAGGGCAACGAAGCTGGTGCAGGGTCTGGAGCACAGGTCGTACCGGGAGCAGCTGAGGGAACTGGGGGTGTTTAGTCTGGAGAAGAGGAGGCTGAGGGGAGACCTCATCGCCCTCTACAGCTCCCTGAAAGGAGGGTGCAGAGAGCTGGGGATGAGTCTCTTTAGCCTAGTAGAAAGCGACAGGACAAGAGGGAATGTCCTCAAGTTGTGCCGGGGAAGGTTTAGACTGGATATTAGGAAGCATTTCTTTACAGAACAGGTTGTTGGGCATTGGAATGGGCTGCCCAGGGAGGTGGTGGGGTCCCCATCCCTGGAGGTGTTTAAGTGTTGGGCTGACATAGCGGTGAGAGATATGGTGTAGTTGGGCACGGTCTGTGTGAGATTAATGGTTGGACTGGATGATCTTCCAGGTCTTTTCCAATCTAGGTGATTCTGTGATTCTGAGTTTACCAATGTTTGTGTCCACATCCTATAGAGTACCTATTTAGAAAACTTTATAAATAGAAGAATTACGGGGAAGGGTTACAGGGACCATAATTCCTTCATTAGCATTAATTCAGTTCATGCTCCCCATCCATTTGGGAAGCAGTGGCCATGATCCTCCGTTCCCTCATTCATCCCCATTTTGTGGCTGTGAGCCCATGAGTGCCCCTGATCCCCTGTTATTTCAGAATTACTTACTCCTGAAAGAGGAGAAAACTGGATAACTCATACAGCAATCTCTCAGACAGAAATACCTCACATAAACTTGTGGGATCCTGGAAGGTCTCTATGGAGAGAGGAGCAAAAGAGACAGAAGTGTCCACAAATACTGAGAGCTGATTTATTAACCTCATTGTGCTTCTCAGTTTGCCAAGCAGGAACATGTTTCTGTCTTTATGCTTTCATGTACCAACCTATTATTGAACAATTAATATTTTAAAGGAGTGCCATATTAAAAATATTACACTTTATAAAGTCTTCAGAATAAGTCTGTTGTGTTTTGGATGTCAGAGTATGGTAGTCTGCATCTCCGCAAGTGCTGTAGCTACAAATGTATGCAATTGAAACAATTTTATTTTTTTTTTATTACAGTAACAGAAGCTTAGACCTATTTTAGCAGGCATACTTTTGTTTTTAATTTTCATTAGTTGCAAAAAATATCACTAGTGTAGTAGGACTTCATAGTGTTTATTAAATGTAAATAAATTATGTATACAGAAAGAATTTTTTCCTCCTCACAAACAATGTTAAACAGTGAACAGATCTGAAAAACATGCTAAATAAGGCCCTAATGCACAAAAGCCTAGGCTTCAAAGTTCTGCTTCTCTGAGAATTATTAGCAGCATTTCCTCCTCCTTGTCACATGCAGTTACGTATTGCTGTTGTCTTTAACCAGTGAGTCAGATTATTGAAGCCCTTCCATGTACAAGTAAATGTTTACACTCATTGATAACCAAAAAAGCACTTCAACATGTTCCAGGATCCCACAGAAGAGATGAGGTTTCAAGGTCCATATGTCTGCAGAGTTCAATGCATTGGAAATAAATCCTACATCAGTTGGGTGCATATCCCCTGAAATAGCTATAGGTATTTATTTTACAGAAAAATTTTTGATTGACCCAAGTTATGGGCACAATTACAAGGTAGGTAGTAGGGACCAATTCAGATAAACTACCGAATATATCAGCCTTTTTGATGACCTCGTCAACAAATGCTATTTCAACTCTCTCAAAAGCTACAGAATCAACGATACCATGACTAGAAACAGTTCTGAAATGGAAAATATGTCCAGGTCCTAACCACTTTAGTCCTTGCTTTGAAGGAGTCTGGCAGTTTTAAAGATGTGATCCAGTGCTGAAGAACTGAGCTCCCCAGTGTTTTCCATGGGTCACCTCTCAGCTCTGCCAGCTGGTGGGCATGTGTTCATGGGGCTGAAGAAACAAACAGCAAAGCCACCTGCCAGGGTGGATGCCTCTTGCAGCCACTGCTCGCCCCATACACGTCAGAGGACAGGCAGCACAGGACTCAGCTCTGCCCTCACACACAAGGTGTCCTCTGAGATAACTTTTTGCTTTTCGCAGGGGGATGGGTCTGAGAGGGTGGTGCAGGGATGCCCTGGAGTGGTGAGAGCAGCAGGAGTGCTCAGGCCTGGCACCCCGTGGGTAGGTGCCCTGCAGTGCCCTTTTTTTGATCCATTTTAGTCCTTTGTGAATGTAATCCACCAGCAAGAGCAGCAGGGCACAGGCTCCCCTTCTCTTTTGCCCTTGTCTTTCCTCACCTCTACCACGAAGGCACCGAGGCTACATCACACCCCTGGTAGCCCAGGAGTCACAGCTCAGCTGCTCACTGGTAAAGACAGATCTGCACCTACAATAGTCAGAAAGGATTGACAGGATCATGAAGGCAGGTATAGGTGTGATTTTGTTTCCCTTTCTTTGGGAAATAAAATGTAGAAGAAATTGTTCATAGCACAGAGGAGAGAACTCTTGCTGGCAGTGACTACAATTGCTTTGGCCCCTTCCATACATGCGTGATAACCTCAGAGGACAGGTTTACACAGATTTACAGGGCCCCTTTTCAGGGCTTGAGAGACAGCCCTGGGGTAGCTGTCACATAGTCATTTCCAAAACCTGAGCAGCAGCATCCCCCACTGTCTCTTTCTGGCAACCCAGGTTTTAGAGGCAAAATATGCTCCCTCAGCCAGAGCTGCCGAGCTGGCTGGGACTGTGCTGCTTCCAGGATCTGTGTCCCTCTTTCTACAAAACATGATGCTGAGCTGTCTAATTTGATCCCTTTGCACTGAGCCAACCTGGACTGCTTTGCTTTCTAGTGGGCAGTGCAGAGAAAAATTACAAAGGCACCAGGCTAGATCCCTTCTGCACAGGTCCTAGATGGTTTTGTCTTCCCCTCCCACCCCCTCCTCTTTTTTTCCCCCCTTCTCTCTCTCTAAAGGCATTCAAACAGTCTCAGTTTTCATTTCAATGTCACCTCTTCATACTGCTGATGTTCTGTATAACATCAGATCAGATTTTACTCTCACACAGATTATTAGATAGTAGATAACATAGATAATCAGAAAGTAGATAGCAGATTATCTGCATTAATTGTACTAATATCAGTGAAAGGAGCTTGCATTTAGCACCTCAGCCAAAGGATAAAGATCAAGTCTATTGACCTCAGTAGGTAATTGATCAGTTTAAAAAAAAAAAAAAAAGTTATATGAGAAAGGCATATTCTATCTTGTCTACTACAGTGCATGGTTTAGGAGGTGCAAAGATAAAGAATTCACCCCACCCCACAAAAAAAAATTAAAAAAAAAAAATAATCAAATACTAGAGCAATGGGGCTTTTATTCACCAAGGAATTTTCCCTATATTATTCCCATTAAATAAGCCACTTTTTCTGACATGCTGCCTCTAGCCAGTACCAATACGGGACTCTTCCAGGAAAAAAATTAAACAAACCAAAAACTTGTTGTACAGCCAGTTTCCCATGCTGTGCTATGGAAGATGTAGAAATCCTCCCTAATCCAGATTTTTTCACTTACATCCAAAAACATACAACGTATTTTTACTTGACAATCTACAGGAACTTATCTTACACACAGAAAACCCTGTGATAACAGACTTAGTGTTGTCAACTCTGCTTCAAAGTCAAGAAAGGCTGTGATTAAGAATTCCTGTGCAGCTTTCATGAAGCCTCTTTCCATGCACTTTTCATGACATTGTGTCTCACTACATGCTCATACACAGCTCTTTTCACAGGGCACGAGTGCACTCTGTGCCTCAGATGAGCAGTGATCACTGACAGAGGAATTACTTCATGTTTTACGCTTTCTGCATTACTCAGCATGCATCACACATTTAGTGCATCACACCAAATCAGAGAGCATCTCTTCACTGCCTATTCCAGTCTGTTTTCCTCTGCACAAGATTTCTTATTTCATCCATCCCTGGCCCCCACCTTTTAGTCTTCTCATTTTAGTCTCAATTTTCTCAGCCAGGTTCAGCTTTATCCGGTCTCCAACTCCCATATGCCCATTCCAAGTTGATAAACGTTGTGGTTGCTTCTGCAGATTGAACCTTTGTCAGTGTAGCCAAACTAGCTTTAAACTAATTAACATAGGTAGCATTAAGAATGAAAGAAACGTTGACCTGTTCACTCTAGGTAATACTCACACATGCTGGGCCCCACACACTAGCTAAAAGTCAAAACCCAAGCTGTTGTGTGACTTTGCCTTGGCATTTTGTGGGATGCCAATGCAGAACACAGACACTTGTAAGAGCCCATCCATTAGAGTAGAAGAGTTCTATCAGACTGATTCCAGGTCTGCAGCTCTGAGACCCGCCCAGCTAATAAACTTGTTCATGGACCTTCTGCAAGAATGAAGTGAAAATAGGAAATCTTGGTGCAAATGAAGGCAGGATAATAAACATCACTGCAAGAAATGCTTGTATTCAGGATGACATAAGCTCATTTTCTGTTTCCTTACCCAGGAGTCATGGTGTCAAAAAAAAAAAAAAAAAAGCAGCAAGATTTTCTTCAGCTTTTTCATAAAGTTTAATTTCAGTCTCCAGCTTTTATTACTTTGCAATTAGTCATGCATGTTGCTTTCACAAAAGCTATATCCAAGGAGAAAAACTCCCTAAATAATCCCTAATTTAGTCCCTCAAAAGGAATTTGGCAACCAACTCAGAAGATTAAACCATGATTAAGTAGCTGCCTAAAACTGAAAAGCAAGATGACGCTCTGTAGCCTCCGAAGTTTTCTGGTGAAGAGCTAAGACTTGTGTTATCCCTATTACCCAGGGAGGAAATCAATCTGCTGTGTGGTGCACAGTGGAAACAAGACTCTGCACTTCCTTTATCTTCCTATCTTGCAAATGCAAAGTATGTCTGCCTCCATGTTTTATTGCTTTCACTCTCAGCCTGGTAAGGAGCCCTCAGGCCTTATGTCTCTTCCCTGCCATGTGTTACTGTGCAGCTGGGGCCAATGCAGTTCAAGGAGAAGCTACAACCCTCCTGGGTTGCCTGAGCCTAGTCTCAGCAGAAGACTTGAAAAGTTTCCATAAATCTGTTTATCAGATTTGGGATTCAATTAGCACTTTCATTTGAAGTATCTGCTTCACTCAAAACTGGATTGTGTTTGTTTGTGTTTTTCTTGTGGTTAGAAAAGTTTTTGGCAGGTTTCAGACAAGCTTGGGGGGAAATTTTTCAGAAGCTTCTAGCCAGATATACATATGTCTAAACCTGCTGTTTTGGGTTTTTTCAGGAGGAAACTGATAATGATTTTTGCATGCAGCAAGACACTGTGTGGGTTGAGGGTATGGGGTTTTCCCATCAATTTTTATTCCCACAAAATATGTTTTTCTCCATCTCTAATTTGCAAGTTGATAAGCTGTTAACTGTGTTGAGACTGCTGTTGTTCACTCTGATTTGTGCTTGACTTGATGTACATAGCTGGGCCTCCTGGTTTTCCCCTGTCAAACCCACCAGGACTCCATCAGGGACTGTTGGCATGAGTTCCAGCTGCATGGATAAGGCAATGAGTGAGATCAGAAACTTATTCAGAGCGGTGATGCAGGATCTACCTAAAGACTACCCATGCTTAATGAATGGCATGTTACAGAACCTCCTCTGCCTCATGAAATCGAGTTTCTTCCTTTCCAGATTTTGGGGGTCCAACTGACAAAAAGAACCAGATAGAAAGAGGAGAAAAGTAACTCAAGCCAGCTGTGTGCATGCAGTCATGATGTCCTGGGGAGCCTGGGAGATTTTTAGTTATAATGTAGTTAGTATTGATGTTTCATCTGCTCCATGACACATATTAGGAAGTTTTAACTTACTACTGAAAGTGTATTAAATGTTGTGATGTAATAGTTATTTAATAACTGCCTGATGTGAGAGATTATTTGTGATCTCAGGCACAAGGTAATACAGACAGAAGTATATGCTTACCCAGAAAAGGAATTCTACTAACAGCTAAATGCTCAAATACCTATTAATGTTTTTCAGAGTTTAATTTACTGACAATTATTTTTTTAATTGCTAAGCTTTTGCTAGCTGTTTTCATACTATGAACTCCCTCTGCAGGGAGACAGAGGTTTCACATTACAATAGCACAGAAAATGGAAACACAATGTATAATGAGGACACCATTCATTTATAGCAATCTCAGAGTCAGTTTCTTTAATTCCCTATGCATGAACTTTACCTGTGCAGGTTGTTCCTGTCTTTCAGCAAGCAAAAAGTTGATCTGAGAAGGAAGTAATAAAAGAAGTAATCACATTTCAATGGTCATGGAATACAGATTTACATACTCTCTGTAATCAGACACCAAGCACCTAAAAATCAAATAAATAAGCTTCCTACACCATTTTGGCTGACTGTTCTGTTTTCAATCTGGACTGACTTCATGAGAAAAATCCTTGTGGCCTTGGTTTCTCTGCTGAACTCAGGAACACAGATGTTATACTGAAGCCAGTTATAATTGTGACTTTTTCCACAGCTACCAAACCTGCCAGGGCACGAGACACAAGTCAGCAACATCTACTAGATGGCATGTAAGTGAGCCTAATTGATAGTAAAATATTCTCAGGCATGTGTGCTAGCTCTCTCAAGAAATCTTATTCCCTTTTTCTCACCTGGGGTGAGAATATCACTTGTTTGCTGCTTTGCCTTCTGCACCCCGGGCTGGGGAGGCCAGCAAGCAGGCACGTCCAGCGGGCAGAGGGAGGCAGGTCAGCTGCAAGAAAGGCGGCAAGCAGGGAAGCCTCTGCCAGGGGCACGGCCAGGGTCTGTCACTTAAGTGGTGACTTCTACAGGTTTCATGGGAGAAAGGGACTCCAGGGTTTCCAGGCAGGTTGAATGAACCAGTCTGATTTTAGTTCGGTTCCTTTTTGGAAACTACCTTCAAAGAGAAGTTGTTTTGCTCATTCTGTGGGGGCTAGAGGTGCAGAAAAGTGAAAGCAAGACTGGAGGAAATGGACCCAGCCTGCAAAAATATACTGAGGAAGAGCAACTTTATTTTTATATCTTTTCACTTAGCATGCTTCACCAAGATGGGTGGGTTTCTGTTCTAGTTTAGACTTTGGGTCCTAAAACCCAGCCTATGGAGACTGAGAACCTTTTGTCTGATCCCTTCAGAGAAGAGGTGTTGTAGTTCTACCTCAAAGTTCTGGCTGATGCAGGATCCCTCACAGACAGTTTTAATACTTTTTGCATAATAACGTGAATGTAAGATATTGAGCCAGTGGGTGGGTACATTTTTCCTTAGGGATGTGGTATAATGTGAGCAGAATACATTTCACTGAGATTAGCTATGTAAGAGCTAGCTTGTCCTCTGGGTTGCCTGTATAATCAACAGAGAAAAACAAGTTGCTTGAGAGAACAATTCACTTTATCTTATGAACAGATAAATGCAATACAGGGGTTTCACTCTGCTTCCACTGACTATAGATAGAGCCTAATTACTGGGAATTACAGAAGTAGGTGATATGAATCCCACACAAGCTGTCTCAACTTGAAAAATGTACATGGATTTGATACAGCTCTCCAAAATTTAAGTTGCATCATGAGGTGCCTTGAAATCAGGCTGCAGGGTGCTGAATACAGGCATGTTACTGCATTTGTAAAAGCTACACATCATGCTTCCTGGAAAACGATGTGCAGGATCCTCGCTCATTATAAAATATATATGCTTAACTGCCTCTGTAATACATGAAGCTCTCAGCCCTGTCTCTTGCTGTCCACAAAATGCTTGGCTTTAGGATTAAGCAAGTAATTGTCATTTGTCTCTGAAACAGTCTTCCATTCCCACAAAGCAGTGATGCCCCTTGGAATTAGTGCCAGGCAATTTGGGAGGTATGTGAAAGGGAGGAAAGAAAAGCACTTCTTACAGCTGCAATCAGCCATGATGCTTCAAGCAGCTCAACTCAACAGCGACTCTCAGCTCATCTCTTCCCGTTCGTTCCCCTTTATAATATCTAACCAGATACCACTGTGCTCTTCTGCTGGGTGCTTTTCTCATCCCCTGGCTCTCCCGCTGCAATTTTCATCTGCTATTACTTACCAGCAGTGCTGGCAAAGCCCTATGATGAACAACTCCCTCTTGGCATGGGGGACTCTCCTCCCAGTGCTCCACTTCACAGCTGCTTTGAAATGACAAAAATTAGAGACATGGCTGAACCACACAAAAAGAATATCAGCAGTCTGGGGGGTCTCAAAGTAGAAAAGATTTCAACAAGATTCTGTTACATCTCAAAAGCATATTAAACACAAATGACTTTCCGTAACGTAACAGCACTGATAGTCTTGCTTGAGTTGGTCTTCTCTGACTGAGACACACCAGTATCACTTAATATGAATGAGAAAGTTACATGACATCAAAATCACACTTTCTAAACTCAGATTCTGTTCTGACTGAAGGTGGCATAAATCTGAAGTAATTTCAATGCTATAATTATTCTAGGTTCAAGGCAGTGTAATAGAGGATAAAATATACTCCAGCAAGCACTGCTAGTCCTCGCTTTAACAACACATTTTAATTTTATGGAGAGTTTTAACTAATGCAATTTAAAAAGGAAGATGGAAGTAGAATGTGGAAACAAGGCACTTTCAAATGGATACATATATAATGGCTCCCTGTGAAGCAGCTTGCAAGCAAGGCAACTGCTCATCCAGAACAGGGTTATTTTTTAAATTTTAGCAATGGTGAAAGAAATTTAACACTTGATTCATTTTTATTGTGACTAATTATTTCAATATTTCTTAAGCTT